GTTACTTAATAGCTTATATACTGAGAAATATTAATGTAACTAAAGTGTAACTTGGAAAAAGAACAAAATATGTAATTTCTACAGACTGATTTTTAAACAAATTTATTTTGTTTTAAAGATATATTAGAGGGAATTGTGTTGCTGTGGAGCCTTCTGCTACACTAAGACACACCAATAATATAAAGTTCACACAAAAGAGGGAAATTATGATTTAAAAAAAAAAAAAAGTAGGGTTCGGGCTTTAAAGGACTGTTGATCCTAATTTGGTTCACTTGAGAGGTATGCTATAAGTCAAGAAGCAAGCTGAAAATTAGAAAAGAGAATAAAAAGTAGAACTACTTAGAGGCCAGTTTTTCTTTATTTAATCAGTAATAATCTCTGAAGGTTTAAAAATGACAAGGCAGCACCAACATGTCCACCTCGATACAGAAAGCAAAAGATCTCCTGAAGTTCCAAATAGTGTGGGTAGATGAAAATGAAAGCTGTTTGGAATATCATTTTTGTAGAGATCATTTCAAGTGACAACACAAATTTAAGCTTGCAAATACATTTCAAGGAAGAAGACATAGAGTCCCGTTGACTTACACCACAAAACTACAGCATGCTGTGCAAACTGAATTTGAGGATATCGAGTCTTTTTAGCCATGTTTCTGCTGGTTAAAACATTTTCCCAATGCAAACCTGCACTGCTACATTAATTTTTTTCCTGACATAACTAGATATATTTTTAAGATATTGAATACGTTTTGAAAACCGTATGGGACAGCATCTTCAGATGTAATAGTAATGTGCAATACATATTTTTCCACATATGTCATGTCTTTGAAGGTAACGATTACATATCAAGCATCTGAAAATTCATGAGCACATACTGCAAGGAAGAGACAACTGGAAGATCTTGCTGTTTCTTTCTTTTATCGCATTCATTATATATTTCCGATAAGAAGTTAAAAATGTGGTACCTGTGGCTTGCTGTGATTGTGCAAGAAACACGCCATTGGATTCACTAATTCAACAACGTTGTATCTCTTAAGAAAGTCTTGTGTCATCATAAAGAAAAAGTGCGGGTGAAACATTTATCTAGATAAAAGACCACAAGTAGGTAACCTGCTCAGCAGAGGCAATGTAACCATGCACTAGGAGAACGACCTCTACCCAAATGTGGAAGGCATCAATTTAATTCTATGACAGCTAGACAAAAGACGACAGCAGCTCCACAGGAAGACATTAGCAATGATAACTCAGTCTACAGTATGTGAACAGAATGAATTAGCATAAAGTACAATGAAGAGTGACATATTGATCTCCACTAGGAATTTTAGCAGCTTAACTTTTCAGTCTGCAGGTGCGTGTTAAATATTTCCTTTATACTTCTTCTTAAAGGCAGTAGGAATAATCTAGTTTCTGTTCAAATTGAAGAATTGAAAGTTTAAAAAAAAATGTAGCCACCTCTTTATATTTGTAAAAGTGATATTTTATGTGTGTGTGTATATATATATATATATATATATATATATGTAAAAATGTAAAAAAACAGATACAATTAGTATCTTGTAATACCTTTTTGTATTGGACTAACAGAATATTTTTAATGACAAGCTTTGGGGAGAACCTCCCTTTCTCAAGTCTGAAGCATTTCTGAGCAAGACGACACATAGAATTCAAAGTTGAGTTGTGATACAGGGGTTAAAGCGATCTAAGTGCAGAGAAGACATCTATCAAACCTGTCTTATCTGCATTCTATCAAACCTGTATTCTCTGCCCTCATGTCGCTTTAACCCCTGTAGCACAACTCATCTTTGAATTCTATGTGTCGTCTTGCTCAGAAATGCTTCAGACTTGAGAAAGGGAGGTTCTCCCCAAAGCTTGTCATTACAAAATTCTGTTAGTCCAATAAAAAAGGTATTACAAGTTTCAAATTTTATCTGTTTTTTACATCTACATCACTGGACTAATACAGCTACAATCCCTACTTGAACACATATGTTCACACACATATGCACATACACACACACCTTAAAATTTCAAGTCTAAGCCAGTTGATTGCCACTCACTAGGGGTACATTTTTGCTTGTCATGGCTAAATTTACACACACTAATAGCTAGTGGCAAGTGGAAATTTTGAGTCACATAGTTATGGATATATGGCAGCCAGCATGTATTTTCATATATGTATTTCAAATAATTATTAGCCCTCTTTTTCCCTCTACTTTCTGCCCCTACAAAAGACACCTTAATGGACAATTATTAGGTCAACTATAAGGATAACCTGACCACAATGGAAATATTAGGCCACCTGGTGATTTGTGATGGCACGCATTGGCCACATGCAATAGGATTTCAGAAAGAGAGTTTGCATTTCTTGTGTGAGGTTACAATTTGGAAAAACTACTAATCAACTAGTACCCTTTCTTCCATTTAGAGCATGACGACTATAGAAGAGGAAAGATAAAGAGGGTCACAAAAGTCAACAAGTCATTTGCTCGGTATACTCATTGGCCACTTTGTCCTCAATTTAATAAGCTTTCCAATTGATTCACTGCCGTTAGAAAACTTCACAAACGGTTTATCTACTAAAATTCCCATAGACTTTATGACTTTAGCAGATAAATCATTGGGAAATAATTCAAACAAAATACATTGTTTGGAAAGCTTATCAAATCAAGGTGTAATGATATTGATGTTACAAAGTTTTGGAGTCCAGTAGCCAGATCAGCAATGTTTTCTGCCAGAGGTAGCCACTCGTTACCCAGGTGGTTGAGCCCCTGAGCCTTGAGTGGCCTTCTGGTCTTAAGCAGAGATGGGAGACTGGAACAGAAAGATGATAATCGTAGTCAGGCAAGCCGAGGTCAGTGGGAAGGAGAAGCAGCAAAGTCAAAACAGTCCAAATTCAGCAACAGGAAGGAGAAACAGGAACACGCTGGATTAGAGAGTACAGGAACCACAATAATCTGGCAAAGGTACAGAGACAGGAGGTGGCTTTTATAGGCCAAGGACCAGACACCTGACCAGACACAGCTGAAGTGAGTTGTCACTGATAACCTTGACTCTACAAACAATAGTATCAGATCTCAGGTAAATGTGCAAAAGGCAGGCTGGTGTACTGGTAAGGAAAAGGTTTAGCACCATGTAAACCAGGGTTCGAAAGCCAGCAGAGTCAGTTCCTCACATTACCTCCACCTCTACAGGCGCAGCCTCTGGATGCCCTATTTCCTGGTTTAGCAGGGTACTGTGCATGGAAAGACTGAAGAAGATCAGGAGCATGAATATTGTCCACTGGTTCCCACGATCTATCCTCCTCACCATAGCCTTTCCAATGAACCAAGTATTGAAGCTTGTTGGGGAAGATCCTGGAGTCAAGAATTTTTTCCACCTCGTATTCATCTTCACCATCCACGAGGACTGGTGGTGGGGCAGGCAAGGCTCGACCAGGGAAAGTATTTTCATGAAAAGGTTTAAGCGGTGCCACGTGAAACACCGGATGTATTTTCATGGAATCCGGAAGTTGCAGACGGAAGGTGACTGCATTGATCTGAGCGATTATCTTAAAAGGTCCCATCCCATGAACTTTTGACCCAATTTATGAGAAGGAATCCTAAGCTTAAGATTCTTTGTTGACAGCCAAACCTTGTCACCAACATGATAAACTGGGGCCTCCTTTCAGCAGCTCTTTTGTAACATTCCTGAGCCTCTGAAAGAGTCTCCTTCAACAGTTCTTGGGAATCTCGTAAGGCGGTTAGCCGGTCAGTGACTGCAGGAATGGAAGTAGTAATTGGGAGACTCACTAGAAAGGTTGGATGGTAACCATAATTGGCAAAAAAATGGGCTCAGAGAAGTGGAGCAGTGTTGGGCATTGTTATAGGCAAACTCCGCCGTGGGTAGAAAATCCAGCCAGTCATCCTGCAGGTAACTAATATAGCACCGCAAATATTGTTCTAAAGTCTGGTTGGTTCGCTCAGTCTATCCATTACTTTGTGGATGAAAAGCTGAAGACAGATTTACATTAATACCTAGAATAGAACAAAAATATTTCCAAAAATGAGATGTAAACTGCACTCCCCTGTCGGAAATTACTTCATCAGGCACTCCATGCAAGCGAAATATTTCCCGAATAACAAGGTCAGCAGTCTGTTTAGCTGAAGGGAGACCACGAGCTGGTATGAAATGACTCATCTTGGTTAACCGGTCCACAACAAGAATAGTAGTGTGTTCCTTAGAGGGAGGTAGTTCCACAATAAAGTCCATGGATATAGATCCCCAGGGACGATGAGGAATCGGAAGAGGCTGAAGCAAGCCAACAGGGGATGAGTGAGGAGTCTTATGTCTGGCACATACATCACAAGAGGACACATACTTCTTAACATCCTCATAATATTTAGGCCACCAAAAGGATCGGGTAAGTAGTTCTTGTGTCTTTCGGATTCCTGGATGACCTGCTGGTTTAGAGTCATGGTAGAGGCGTAAAACGTCCAGTCGCACTGATTCTGGAACAAACAGGCGTTGTTGAAAAATCCAAAACCCATTAAGCATGGTCATATGAAGATCACGAGGAGGATCACGAAAAACTGGATCTTTAGAGTAGCCCTTTT